CCCAAGGGCTGTTTTGAATGATTATGAATGAATAGGCCCAGCACACAAGGGGGTGGGGGTGGGGGTGGGGGTGGGGGTGGGTTCTTTTAACAAATGCGCGGATCCCGTGTCCTCGCTTACAGGACTGCAGTTGCAGCTACCTTTCAGGAGATCCTGCCATCGGATCTGAAGTTGCATGTACTTGCACTACATGCACGAGAGATAATGACTTGTCGGATGTCTTTCAAGGTCTTAAAGCAAGCAGCCTTTACAAAAGTCCTGGGCAAGATCTTTTGCTGAGATATGGAGAGTGTCCTGTAAGCTCCAGGCACAGTTCCTGCATGCACACTGAGGCATGGGGAAAGGAGGTAACATGGGAGAGCAGAAGGAAAAGCCTGGATTTGTGATATTAATGTAAAACCCCCAGAGTAGGTATTAGGCAAGTTATCCCACTGACAAATACAGAAGGCACACAAGAACGGCCTTAAATAAACAAGCAGAATTGATTTGTAAATCATACTTTTGCATTCAGGACCCACGGATGTCAATCAAACGTGGATGGCATTTGCTTGTCAATACGGGGATGATGGCTGGGAAGATGGTGACTTATTACATCAGGGTGAGAATCTGAAATGAGCAAGAACAAACAACGCCACAGCAAGCGGAACAGTAACCTCCCGGCGGCCTGGGATCTTGTCTGGGGCTACCGTAGCACCGAGCGTCTCCTTTTCTGTTCCTTCCGCCTACCTTCCACAGCACCCCGGTTTAGTTCTTTCTTTCCTTCTTCTCGGTTTCAAAAGTAAGGTCAAATGAGCAGGCGGAAGACAACACCGATTCATTGATTCTTTTAAGAAAAATGTCAGGAGCTCCTTCAGGCCTTTCCTGGGAGAAGCAAGAGCGAGGCGCAGGCCCGCCGGGCCCAACCCAGCCTAGGTCTCCAGGTTTTCTCTCCCTCTGGCTGCTGAGGGGGCCGCTGCTCTTGCTACTGGACAAGAGTCCTTCCCACTCCTCAAACCTTTAACTTTTATTTTCGGGTAGTGGTTTTAGAAACGTGTGTCTGTGTCTTGGGAATAATTATACATGTATTTCAGAATACTTTTATTCACACGAGGAACCTTATTTTCATATATTTGAGCAGCGGACACATAGCAAATTCTCCACTGACCACAATGCCTTTTTCCTAACACACGATCTGGGTTGCTTCTCAAAAGCCACCTTTCTTTTAGGGGATGAGATGGTAAAGGGTGGTAACAGGATGAAGGTTAATGCATTAATCAAACTCTTTTCCCATGCACCAAGTTATCAACATTCAGAAGACTTCTTTATTGCTAAAGAGAGTCCAGGTGGGGGATAGAGGGGGGAGTTTTTAAAAGGTAGAGTTGAATAAATAAATTCTCATTGAAAAATCTCAAGATACATGGCATTTTCCGCTGGAGACTGCTCACCTTACAGAGGAACCCAGTGAGGATGCCATGAAATGGTAGGGTTGGAATGAATGCGGGCAAGCAAGCGAGTCCACACCAGCTCACTTTTGCAGATGTTGTAAGGGCGGGACACAGCTAGGAGCAGAATCGGGGCCGTCCAGTGTGCGTGCTGGTACCCTTTCCTCTACATTGCACTGACGGACCTATGGTACCGTTCTGTTCATGGAGGCTCTTCTCCTTCTCCTTCCTTTAATGCCAAAGCGCAGCTTGGCTTCGTGAGCGAGGGCACTGGCATCTTAAAGTTCTGCTGAGGTTTGGAAAGGTGCTCTGTAGTCCTTCACGAAGAAGGCAACGTTGGCCAGGCCACATGGCTGAGCCATTTTCCTGTTGAGTGCACAAACTCGGGTGGCCCATGGACATTTGGCTTTTCAGCGAAGTAAGTTTAAATTACTGGTCTCCTTCCTTCTCTAGAAGCGTCCCACCATGTGCTTTGGGAGAAGCTTCTTGTTGTTCAGGATGACTGGGTAGTAGGTGAACTAATGGCAGCTTGCAGCCACTTTCCACCACTTGAATTTCTGAGAAGGTTCTCTGGAAAGTTACTCACGCTTCAGCCCTTATTCTGACAGTTTGAATAAGCCATCTGATATGGCATATTACTCATCATCTCTATATGTATATAATAATAGAAAATGTGTCAATTAAAAAAAAAATATTTGGTTCTCTTCAGTCATCATCAGAGAAGCAAGTTATCGCTCAGATTTGATGTTAATCTTGGAGATGAGCCCTGGGAATCTAATTTTCCCAATCATTTCTCAAGGAAACGCAAGGCTCCGTATTCCCGTTCCTTCTACACCTGGGACTTTGTGACCATTCGGATTATGAAGTTAAATGCAGAAACCCAAGATCCAGGTTGGATGATGGTGCTGTGATTTTCATCTTCCCCACATCATCTCTGTCTCTTTCGGAGAACCCAGCAGATCCTGAGCACGCGACTCCCACACAGATGTGCAGGGACATCATTAATCTTTATTGAGCGCCCACCGGCAGCACAGCCCTACACTGGGCTCTTACAAGGCAAACAAATCTTTAGTCATGAGAATGATTTCCAAATGCAGCCACACTTAAACAGAAATAGCATTTATAAGGAGACAATAAAAGGAGTTAGCAAACCCAAGGACTATCTACAGAAATAGAGATTTTAAAAGTCTGAAAAAAAATCAGACTGGGATCAGCTATTTACCTTTGATTTCTGGGTCTCCAAATTGTATTTCAGGACATATACTCCTTTGGCTGAGGAATTCGAGATTTCTAGAAAGGGTCTGCTTGGAGTAATGGAAGGAAGTAGTAGTATATCCTTATGGCTTTGGAATCAGAGGAGTCTTAATTTGGATCCAGTGTCTTCATTTACTAGCTATGAAAGTTACTTAATCTCCCTGAGGCTTAATTCCCTTTTCTCTAAAATGGGAATAACACTAACACCTAAATTGTAGGGTTGTTGTGAAGACGCAAGTTACTGCGTCAGTTACAGTGCTACCCAACTCATGACCAGGGCCCAGTAAATGTCAGTTTTCATGTTTATCTGTTGTAGGACTGCTGAGTAGAACATGTGCATACGGGCTGGACGGTAGGACACAGGCTTCGTAAAGGAAGCTAAAGGGTCAGACTTAAGACAAATGCCATCAAATGGATACTAAGTATCACAGACTTGGACAAAACTAGATAGAACACACAAGTTTTCCAGGAGAGGTGCCTGTGTGTCATATTATATAATATGAAATGAAGTAAGACAAAACTCAAAACAACGCTCACCTTCACCTTTCTCCAAAATAAGAAAAAAAAAAAACTTTTATAGCAAGATAATTTGAATTCACTGCAGTTTCACAGACCAAGATGTTGGATTTAAAACCTACTAGGAAGCGTTAAAACGTGCCCCCCACCACCCCGTTCCCGGAAAGTTCCCCAAATCAACAGGTTGCAAATGTATATAAAAATCATTGAGATAGTTACTCAGGAACTGTTCCCGTGGATGACTATTCTTGAAAAAGTTAACATATATCAGAGAGGGCTGCTTTGTATAGTTAGCCAGAAGAGTAATTCACTCTGAAGGAAATAAGTCATAACCACATGCAGTAGGGAATTTTCAACAAAAAACTCTCCATGGAGGATAGTGAGTTGGAAAGCTGGCTTGACAGGTCTTTTGCCAGAAAACTATTGAATAGCCAGCTGGAAAATTATTGAGTAGCACATTGCATAAGACTTGGTATAATGCATGGCTTCAAGTTGGCCTCAAATTCTTGTCATATCAATCAGTGCAAGGATGAAATCTCTAGTATGGATATGCTATTTTATACTTGCTTTCCACGGGTGGAATGTTCAGGCCCTAAGACCCTATTTGATGTAGAACTGAAGGGAAAGTTACCAACAATGAAATCTCAGGGGTCAGCAAGTCCTCCCAAGTGATGGTCGTGATAACTCAGCCATACAAGGAAGATGGGCGAGTTCAAGAAACTACTGCCATTAGACTATAGGGCATTTCAAGCAGAAGATATATCATAGAAACACAGCTGTGAAGCCTTATAGCAGACAAGGTCAATTGGTCAGGTCAGATTGGTTAATCAGGCAGGTAGCGATAAGAACTGCGGTA